TTTGTTGTTAATTCTGTCAGAGACAGAATGTTTGCTGGACGTACCCATTGTCTGACCTCAGATGGGCTTCAGATTTTGTTTATATTTTTAAAACCTCAAAGTTTTAGGTGTGGAGGTAACTTTATGCTATCATTGGATAATACCCATCGGATTCTCTTTCTTTCAGTGGGATTTAACTCCATCGTCATCTCTTCCTGTCATAACTTACCCAGACTACCCCCTCACTGGGTTAACCCCCTCCATCTGTCAATCAGGCCTTTACCAACCTGTCAGTCAGTCCTCCATTAAGGCATGCGTCACATTGTATAGCATTTATTCATACGTATATTTTCCACTTTGGATTGTAAACTATGTATTAGCAGGAAATACTATCTTTGACCACATACTTTCCAGGGCCTAGCTCAAAGCCTGGTTTATAGTAGGCACTTAATGAAGATTAGCACCTTCATAGTAACAAACAACTCCCAAATCTCAGTGGCTTAAGACAATCTTGGATTGGCAAAGGCCCTGTTCCCGATTATCCTCACTGAGGGAGCTAGGCTAAGGAAGCCTTTACAGACTTGGACGCAAGAAGGGTATGGAAATGGTAAATCATGCCAGCTCTTGATGTTTCAGCTTGGAACTGACACCACTTTCTCTCATATTTCATTGGTCAAAGCAAGGGATATAGCCACACCTAATGTCATAAGGATGAGGAAGAACAACACTGCTGTGTTTCTGAAAGGGAAGAACAGGAATAATAGTGAGCAATACCAGTGCCTGTTAAGCCAGTGTCTGAGATGTGGTAGGCACTTAATACACAGTTCATGAATGAAGTACCTAACACTACCTGTTAGGATTTTAATTTTTTCTATAACGTGAGCAGAATCACCTCAAGTAATGAAATAATCTAATAACTACAATAAAAAAATGAGCATACTAATATTATTATCTAAGCTATATTCAGCAAACATCTGGAGACCTTTTTGGTAACCCTCTGTTCATTTATTCATATTAGGGAAGTGATTAGGGATACATATTAGTTACGTTTGATTTTACACTTTGAGATGTATAAAGTATGAAATGGTCACAGTAAAGTGAAAGTGTTAGTCGCTCAGTTTTGTCTGACTTTTTGTGGCCCCATGGACTATAGCCCGCCAGGCTCCTCTGTCCATGGACTTCTCCAGGCAAGAATAGTGGAATGGGTAGCCAATCCCTTCTACAGGGGATCTTCCCGACCCGGAAATCAAACCCAGGTCTCCTGCATTGCAGATAGATTCTTTACTGTTTGAGCCACCAGATTTGTATAATTATGATTTTCCCCTGAATGTTTTAGAAGATTTGGAAGAAAACATCGAAGGCTTCAACTGACATATTAAGTTAGTCTGATCAAGTTCTTTAACCTTTTTTTTTTTTTTTTGGAAGAATTAGTGTCTGGCTCAAAAATTGGACAAGAGCTTAGGAAAAATGAACATCTACTCAACTTAAAAGTGAAGTATTGCTTCAGATTGTATGTTAGTATTTTACACTAATTTTTTCATTCATTGTCAAGGCAACCCAAACACATGGTATAATTTGTGGAAAATACAAACTAGTTTGAGAAAGATGAGTTAAACTCACTAGTGTGATTTATTTCATTCTACTGTTATTGCCACAAAATGAGCACATAGCATATGGAAGAGGAAAGAGAAGATCCTGGCCTGTAATCAGGGGGCAGCAATGGAAATAGCAAGAGATGATCAGGTTCAGACAATGTTTTAAGGACAGTGTTGATAGGATTTGTTGATGGATAAAATGAGATAAAATAAAATGGATAAAATGGAGGGAATGAAGAAGTGACAGATGGTAGAGGATAGAGGATATAATGATAGGGGAGACCAGTGATGACTCCTTAGATTCTGGCTTAAACATCTGTGTGTGATTCATATGTATAGGCGGGTGTGTATATAAGGCTGCACTCATTGTATGTATGGATTTTAAAATTTATTGAACATTATATTAATGTACTTTTTATGTTATAAACATACCTCAAAATAAGATTCTAAGTGGCTTAATATACACTCATGACATACTATGGCTTTTAATTTTCTCCCTATTGTTGGGAAATTAGAGTATTTTTTCCCTTTTAATAAGTAGCATGGTAATGTTCTCAGGTTCCACCTACTTCCTTGTTTCCTCAATTCAAAAAAAATTGATGTGAGGGAATTGGCCATGGTTTGCTGGAATTTCAACATGTGATACAGTTAGTCAGAAATAGAAGAAGCCCAGACTGGATAGAGGTCATGATTTCAGTCCTCCAAGGGGGACATGGTGAGATAGATAGAGCTTGAGCCAGACTGGTGTTGCTTTCAAGGTCAGAATCGGTGGTGGTAGACAGTTGTTGAGAGGGACATTTGTGACCTGTCAAGACCCAGAGGGCAGGGTCAGACCCCAGCTGGGAAGCAGTTCTAAAGGAGAATCTTAAAAAAAATTTTTTGAGGTCCAGTTCAAAAGATAATCATGGTTTTTTTCATAATGGCAGGGCTTTGGGTTGGAAGATAAGGACCCCAAGGCAGAGCTTGTCGGGGGGAAGCTGCAGCTTTGAGGGTGTGAGCACTCAGCCCATCACTAGGATTTAAGCAGCCAGACTGTTTCTTGGCCCGACTCTGTGGGTGACAGGCAGTTCCTTATTAGGCTTGCATTTGCCCAGGAAATCTGTGAGGCTGAGAAGCAAGATGACGATCCTCCATCTGAGACTGGGAGGGAGTGGGGAAGGCTGTGATGGATAATTGAAAACTTGTATTCACTGAGTGTCTCACCTGTGGGACAGTGGGAGTCAGGAGGGGCTGGAGATGTGATAGAAATACTGTACATAACCCTCTTCCTTAAACTTGTATGTTGGTCACAGGAACAAGCACATTATGATATTTATTGCTAACCAAACATGATTCTGTTTACATATCACATATTACAGAGATGTAGTAACTGGTCTCTGAGGTGCCTAAGAAGTTGGAGGACAGTCTTAGCAGTGCCTGAGTTCAATGGGAATGTTTAAACTGCATTTTCACTTTGATGATAACTTAAAGAAAGTATTTTGATCAGTTTAAAATATAACCTTTCACATTGGCAGGGTTAGTTTATAATGAAAAAACATTTTCAAAGACTATAACTTTAGTTTCTTAAGTTAATATTGTTTAGAGTCCAAAACATATTCTTACAGGTGCATCCATAAAAAACTCTTTTGTTCACTGTGGAAACTAGAATATTAATCTGAACCTCAAAGGATGTGTGGGTTCAGATGGGTGTAAAAGAAGGAGAAAGGTGCATCCGTGAGAGGAGAGAGTTAGATCAAGGATGATCGTGATGCCTCTTGGATGCCTGGGAACTTGAAGGATATATCAGTTTCAGGTTTCTAGATATTCTACCTGACACTGATATGTGAGGAATGTGGGGACCACTCTTCCCTCTACTATTGTTAATACCTACCTTTTTTGAGAAACCTATATGCAGGTCAGGAAGCAACAGTTAGAACTGGACATGGAACAACAGACTGGTTCCAAATAGGAAAAGGAGTACGTCAAGGCTGTATATTGTTACCCTGCTTATTTAACTTATATGCAGAGTACATCATGAGAAGTGCTGGGCTGGAAGAAGCACAAGCTGGAATCAAGATTGCCGGGAGAAATATCAATAACCTCAGATATGCAGATGACACCACCCTTATGGCAGAAAGTAAAGTGGAACTAAAAAGCCTCTTGATGAAAGTGAAAGAGGAGAGTCAAAAAGTTGGCTTAAAGCTCAACATTCAGAAAACTAAGATCATGGCATATGGTCCCATCACTTCATGGGAAATAGATGGGGAAACAGTGGAAGCAGTGTCAGACTTTATTTTTTGGGGCTCCAAAATAACTGCAGATGGTGATTGCAGCCATGAAATTAAAAGACGCTTACTCCTTGGAAGGAAAGTGATGACCAACCTAGATAGCATATTAAAAAGCAGAGATATTTGTTTGCCAACAAAGGTCCATCTAGTCGTTATGGTTTTTCCAGTGGTCATGTATGGATGTGAGAGTTGGACTGTGAAGAAAGCTGAGCACCGAAGAATTGATGCTTTTGAACTGTGGTGTTGGGGAAGACTCTTGAGAGTCCCGTGGACTGCAAGGAGATCCAGCCAGTCCATTCTAGAGGAGATAAGTCCTGGGTGTTCACTGGAAGGGCTGATGGTGAAGCTGAAACTCCAGTACTTTGGCCACCTCATGGGAAGAGTTGACTCATTGGAAAAGACCCTGATACTAGGAGGGATTGGGGGCAGGAGGAGAAGGGGACGACAGAGGATGAGATGGTTGGATGGCATCACCGACTCGATGGACATGAGTTTAGTAAACTCTGTGATGGACAGGGGGGCCTGGCGTGCTGCGATTCATGGGGTCACAAGGAGTCGGACACGACTGAGCGACTGAACTGACTGACTGAACTTTTTCTGATGGATGCAGGAAGTTTTTTAAGTCTTTTTGTTGAGAAGGTAACCCTCATAGTCCTCTTTTAAAGAATCATCTTCTAACCCTCATGTTATTGATCATAAAATTTTCTTTCTCTGCTAGAATGTGAATTTAGTTTCCTTAGAACTTCTGAGTGGTTAATGTGTCTTACAGAGACATCTAAAGGAAAGCCCGTTGCCTCATCCCATCAGGTGTTTGCTAGGTACTCAGGAAGCAGGTGGTCCTCCAGGGAATAGAACGCTAAAGGGTCATTGTGTTTTTTAGGTACCACCCCTTTTCTTGTACCCGTACTTGGTGTTAGGGATTTGTTCCTCTCAAATATCACTGATGTTCTCTTGAATTATTTTTCTTTTGTTCAGAAAACATCCCAGATCAGTGGTCTTTAGTCATCTTCATTTTGCAGGACAGCTTTACTAGGTTTATTACTAAAACAGCACCATATCGGATTGCCAGCCTATTTGTGTACCTATTTAAGCTAACAAGTGGTTGGTCTTTTAAAATCTTTGTTAAGTAAAGCTGTCTCTCTCTCTTTTTTCTTTGCAGATTCCAACAAGATTATGGCAGAGCAGAGCCACATGCAAGAGCAGCTGGATTTACAGAATGGTAGCTTAGAGGCAGGCTTTGTGGAGAATTCTCTCGAAAACGATTCCCAAAACATGATGGAGAGCCTGAGCCCAAAGAAATATTCTTCCAGTCTGAGATTTAAAGCCAACGGAGACTGTTCTGGCTCCTATTTAACCCTCTCACAACCTGTGCCTGCTAAAAGAAGCCCTTCTCCTTTGGGAACCAGCGTCAGAAGTAGCCCTTCTTTGGCCAAAATCCAGGGAACTAAGCAGTTCTCTTGCGATGGAAGTGACAAAGGCCTTTCCATGAAACCGCCCAGCCCTTTACACAGCACTCCAGCCTCCCTTAGTGGATATGCACTTGGGAGAGCGGACTTTGATCATTTTCTCGGCCGGGACATGGAAAGGTTCTCGAGGCTTTCAGAGAAGCCTCCCTATTCCAAGCATAGCTCAAGGAATAAATCCCATGACAGTGTCTGCTTTCTGGGAGGGCTGGAAGGCCGAAAAGCCTCTGGCTCGCTCCTGACCGTGTGGGGTGGGGGTTCCCTGGGCGACACTGGCTCCTCGCCCGTCAGCGGGTCCGGGGCGGCCAGCATGCCTTCAAGCCCAAAGCAAGCCAGGAAGATAAGCATCCAGGACAACCTGGCTCTTCAGCCCAGGTCGAGCAGACACCGGGAGCCTGAGAGCATCAGCTTGAGAACCAGGAAGTACTCTGGCGGCAGCCTGAGTCACATGGGCGCCTACAGCCGCTCCCTCCCAAGGCTGCACAGGGCCGCCGAGAGCCAGCTGGCCGCTCTCAGTCTGCCTCCGAGGAGCGCTCTGGGCAATTCCAAACGGACGAGACTGGGGGAAAAGGATCTACCTCACAGCATCATAGACAACGACAATTACCTGAACTTTTCTTCTTTGAGCTCAGGAGCTTTGCCCTATAAAACCTCTGCCTCCGAGGGCGGTCCCTACGTGAGTTCCACCCTCAGCGTGCCTGCCAGCCCTCGAGTGGCTCGCAAGATGCTTCTGGCCTCCACCTCCTCCTGCACCTCTGACGACCTTGACAGGGCTTCCTACGCGGGTACCAGCCCCGGTCACTCGTTTCCTCCTGGGGAGCTGGACCGAGCACTTGCAGCCAGAAGGAACTTCTCGTGTGGGTCTGTCGAGTTTGATGATGCCGACTTGGACAGCCTCAGGCAGGCCTCAGGAACCCCCCAGCCCGTCCTTCGGGAACGGAAAAGCAGCATCAGCTCCATTTCCGGACGAGACGACCTGATGGATTATCACCGGCGGCAGAGGGAGGAGAGGCTCAGGGAGCAGGAGATGGAGCGATTGGTAATCTCTTCGTCTGGCTTGGCCTCACTTTCACTGAGCGGCTTCTTGGAGACAAGCTCCAAGGATACACGTGGGAGTGCAGGGTTTCCTGCGCGCCGGCTCCTGGTGTCCCTTCCCAGATTGCCTCCTGCTAACCTTGCTCTTCCCAAATCACTATTGTTCGTCACTTAGGGCTGTTTTGAAGGCCTGCATGTGCCTAATGCTATATTAAATTGCTCTGCAGAGGCCTCACAAGTATAAATTCTTGATAAATCTAACAAAGGTAGTTGTGAATTTTACTGAATGTCTTTAAAAGTCTTACGGCCTTTTAAGACTATGAGGAAAAACTGACATGTATTGTTTATGTCATCACATTTGAATGTATATGCCGTGATGGTAACAGTCAGTGAAGTGACAGCTTGGAATTAGGTAGTAAGTTTTCCTGTATAGCAAGTGGTCTGAGAAGTTGAAAGGTTGCCCCAGTGGTGCCCAACCTTTTTCTGCACTGTGTACACACACACACACACACACCACACATCATACTCCAGCCATGTCTTAATATGTGTGACTGCAAACTTCACATGTCCCCCAAAGTTACTGACCTGCCTTTTTCTATGGATTTATGATTACTATAAAAATAGTGAATACCTGTCAGATTATTTTGATTCATTAATGATTAATGACTTCCTTAATGTGGGAAGCAGTAGGATGGTAGAGCTGATATTCTGAAGTATAGGAATATCTAAGTATTTTAGTTACTAAAAGTAAGTATGCTGGATAAGATTTCTGAATCCCATACAAAGCTAGTTAATGCCCTGCTGGACAGTGAAATTGTAACTTTTAGATTATAATGAACAGAAACTATTTACATCTATATAGGGCAGAATTTTCTTGAAATTTTGGAAAAGTAATCTGCATCAGTTGCAGCTCTTGGTAAGTTATTGCCTATCCTTACAGAGTTTCCAAATGTCCTGATCCATATACTAGTGAATGAAGACAAATGTGTATTCCCCAGAGAACTTGATGTTCTGTGGGTGGGGATAGAAGCTTCTTTGTTACCATACATAATCTCCACATATTTTTCGTGATCACAAAAAGGCATTATATTTGGGCTTGATTCATTGACATAAATTAGAAAAGGTTGTAATTAGCACATAAAGACTTTCTTGTATGTGAATAGCAAACTTAGCACTATACTGTACAGAACAACTCTCATTGATAAAACCAGAAAATCTATCTGATAATTTATTAAGGTATCTAAGTGAACATTTCAGTGGTTTCATCTCTCCAGAGGTCTTCCATAAATGCTTTTATTTACTCTTCTGTTCTAAGGAAAAGAAACCAAACCTGAAGTTCATTGCCAGCAGGTTTCATCTCTAGCAGGTTAAGTGTTGGTAAAGTTCTGTTTCCTCTAGTTCTCCCGAATCTGCTAAGGTTCCTGGCAACCCAGTGACCCTTCTTACTGCCTATAAGGTTGGTGTCCTGTAAGCCACGAACAGGTCTAAGATCAACTTCTTAGGAGAGGTTTTGGGTATCAACTTCAGATATGAGGTCATAACCCTTTTTCCTTTATAAAGAGCTTGTAGTAAGAAATGAGGCTTATTTTTAGTTAAGATACTCTACATTTGGCCGCTATTGCATTGTCTATTTGTCTGATTACATCCCGGTGAAACAGAAAACAGATTCTTATTGAGTATATGCAAATAATGTTATTGCCATTAAAAAGTAAAGTAACTCAGAAGAAAATATCACTTCCTGAATTCTGATGGAGTCAATTGAATTGAGGGTTAGAGACAGATCACGATGGGTGGTAAAAGGGTTTTCCCCATCAGAAAATAGAACAGTAAGATTAATGCTAGTAATTTTCCAAAACACATATCTACATTTAGAGATCAGATTTTCAGTTTCAGTTCCATGAGTTCTTTGTAACTAATTCTTATTCCTCTAGTCTTGAGTCATTAATTTGATTTCATATAGTCATCTATTTCTGGACTAAATAAAGTCCTGAAAGTCTGATTTAGTTGCTAGTACGATATGATACTTGGCTATGTAATGCCAGCTCTTCTGTCAGCCTCTGCCCGTTAAGTCCATTCTTTGAAATATTGTAAAGAGTATCTGGTAAAGTTCTATCCATGAGGCTCTGAGACTGTCTGTCTTTTTTAAAGGCACATCCTCATCTATAATTTAAGCAGTCTCTAGGTAAGCATGAGAGGAAAGCACAGACTATTGGGTAAGGGTAAGGGCAAGTGGCTGTGGTTAATATACAGTTAATTTAACAAACTTGATCAAGAAGAAGAAAAGTTTGAATCTTCTATTATGCAATAGGATGTTGATCTTATTTAATTAGTGTTTCACATAAGGGTAAAAACATATTACAGAGGGTGAGGATATTGATATATATCCAGAGCCTTTCCATAAGGTATGCAGTCACCGAGCTTTATAATATTTTACCTATAAAAAATTAGATGAGGGAAGGCTGAGCTTCTCACTTGATATGTCAAATCTTCCTATGCATTTTTTGATAGTGTTGAGCTGTTTATACAAGGGATATAGTGAATAAACCTAAATATTTCTAGCATTCTTTTTGTAAGGTTAAGAAAAAAAAATCTTTGTCATTGCCCAAGGGTCCTCTGGGAAAACTTAGAGATAGTTCAAGTGTGAAAGATATATTTGAAAAATTTGTTTTCTTGAATTTAGGGTCTAATCTTGGAAAGGCAAAATCAAATATTAATTAGAGATTAATAATATAGGATTATGGATGCCTGAGAAAATGAATGTTGCAGTTTGATTACCTAATAAGATGAGGATAAGTTACTTATTATAAATAATAAATCTTAATCAGAAATGAACTATTTTGATCATTTTAAATATGCAAGTATATATCCCAGTTAGGACAAGACACAAAAGATTATTCTTTTGAGATGCTGAAACTCTTCTCTCTGGACAGATTACAAGAATAAACTTTTACTACCTTTTGTAAGCATAGGCTGATTTCTCCAAGATTAGTAAGTAGGTCCTTTCATTAGGAGATAACTCCATTTTAGTTTTACATTAATAGGATACTTCTCATAAAAAAGTTACTTCATAAATAAACTCATCAGTGCTATTCAACTTCTGCCAAAATTTTAACATTCTATTACATCTTCACAGAATATTTGTAAATGTTATAAACCAAGTCAAATACGCTCCTTTTCTGCAAATCTCAAGTTTTTCATGTAACTTTATTCTTTTTATTAAAGTACCATTGATTTACAATATTGTATTACTTTCAGGTGTACAACATGGTGATTCAGTATTTTTGTAGATTATATTCCACTTAAAGTTATTATAAGACATTGGCTATATTCCCTGTGCTATACCATGTATCATTGTAGTTTTTTATTTTATACATAGTAATTTGTGCCTCTTAATTCCCTACTCCTATTAAGTCCCTCCCCACTACCCTCCCCCCACAGGTAACTACTAGTTTGTTCTCTATATCTGTGAGTCTGTTTCTGTTATGTTTATTCATTTGCTTTATTTTTTAGATTCTACATGTAAGTGCTAACGTACAATATTTGTCTTTCTCTGGCTGACTTGTTCATTAAGCATAATATCCTGTGGGTCCATCTGTGTTGCTACAAATGGGAAAACTTCATTCTTTCTATAGCTGAGTAATATTCCACTGTCTTTGTATACCACATCTTTTTTTATCACCTGTCAGTATATCTACTTGTTCTAAAATGATAGTCATTTAAATTCTAAAAGATCTACATGTTTACTCCCTCCCCCACATTTTGAGTTTTTGATGTCATATTTTACATCTTCATGTCTATCCCTTAGTTGTTTATTGTAGTTATAATTGATTTTACAATTTTTGCCTTTTAGTCTTCATGCTTAGTTATTATAGTTGATCCACAGCCTTTCCTATAAACTTGCCCCACCTGCGGGATTTTTCCTTTCCTATAAATTCTCACATCTTATTGTAGCCTTTTGATTTCCTCTTAGAGAAGACCCTTTAACACTTCTTTTAGGGTCACTTTAGAATTGATGAACTCAGTATTTTCTTGTCTGAGAAGTACTTCATCTCTTCTTCACTTCTGAAGGATAACCTTGTTGGGTAGAGCATCCTAGGTTACAAGTTTTTCCCTTTCAGCTTTTAAGTATATCGTGCTACTCCCTTCTGGCCTGCAAAGTTTCTGAAGAAAGAAGAACTGATAACTTCATGGAGATCCCTTGTGTATGGCTCTGTTCTTCTCTTGCTGCCTTTAAAATTCTCTCTCTGTGGTTAAGGTTTGCCGTTTTAACTATGGTAGGTCTTGATGTGGGTCTTTTTCAGCCCATCTTATTTGGGACTACCTCTGCCTCCTGTACCTGGGTATCTGCTTGCTTCTCCAGATACATTTTCCACCCCATCCCTGTCTCTTCTTCTTGGGGGAACCCTATAATGTGAATACTATAATGCTTGATACTGTTTCAGAGGTTCCTTAAACCACCCTCATTGTTTAAAATTTGTTTTTCTTTTTGTTATTATGATTAGGTGATCTCCTTTTTTTCTATCTTCTAGATCACTTATTTCTAGGTGTATCACCTCATCTTCTTTTAAGTCCTTTGGTGTATTTTTCATTTCTGTTATTGTATTCTTCAGCTCTGACTGGTTCTTTTTTTTTTTTTCCTAGTTCCTTGTTGAAATTCTCACTGTGTCCATCGATTCTTTTCTCAAATACAGTTATAAGCACTTTTATAATTAATGCTTTTAATTTTTTTACCTGGTAAATTATTTATCTGATCTTTAGGGGTGTTCTCAGCACTGCTTTTTGTTCTGCTGTCTGAAACAAACTCCTCTGTCTTCTCATTTTGCTTTGATTTCTGTTTCTGTGGAGTCAGGTGAACAGTGACCTGTTGCAGCTGTGAAGGTGTGTCCCTCTGCAGTCTGTGTGAACTCAGTGGCTCTAGGGGGAGAGTTGGATCCGAAGTGAGCGTGGATGGCGCGTTCCCCTGGGGTGCGTTGTCAGCTGTCACCTTCGTAGGAGGTAAGGATG